AAAATAATTGGATTATGCTCAGCTGAGTGAAGGCGTAAGATTTGATGAGCATTTTGGTTATTTCAAATAGCTTCCACTGTACTTTTTTTTTTCTTTTTTTTTTTTTTTTTGAGACAAAACAACAGCACTAACAAAAAAACGTGTCCTACAGTTGCCTCTGCAGTCAGAAAAATTGTCAGGAGTTTTCATTTCCATCTCTTTCTGTTAAAAATGCCTCGTGCGTGCAGCTGGCCAGTCTGCCTCATCTCTTCCTGTCCAACTGGACACGGCGATCTGTTATTGTCACATCTAGGCAGAATTATTCTAGCTTCCCATAGTTAGAAATCGCAGTGTGGAGGTTTCACTGGGTTCTTAACTGCTTAGTAGCAGCAGCTGCTGCTAAAGCATTATCTGGCTGATTTGTAGGCTGGCACGTTGAGAATAATCAATTTTCAGCATCTCTATATTTAAAGTAGGCTGCATTAGAGTGCCTTCTGCTTACTAACCACAACTTCCCTCGAAAGTTACATGCCACAGGAAGGATGAAACTGCTACGTCTAGCTTTATTAGAGGGAGGAACATAATTCTCCCTGTGCATGCTATAAGGGTCTGTATGTTTTTCTGGAGAGGATGGGATAACCACAAATGTTGCTGCCTTCAGAACAGGTGCAAAGCTTGCTTTTTTAATTTAGCCCTTTCCACAACATCTGTCACAACTGAGGAAAAGAAAAGAGGAAGAGGAGAAACTCTTATTTTTGCACTGAGAAAAAAAAATGAATGTAGCTTTTGGGAAAGAAATCTAGGCCAATGGCATCTTGACCTTTTTGTATTACAAAAGAATGCCAGAAACAGCATAAAAGCTTAGAGTACAATAGTAGACAAATTTTTAAGTTACATTGTTTGCTAGTTTTACCACAAGGCCAGTGAGCTTCATGCTGCTTTTTTCTATGACTTAATCAAATCTTCTCTGACTTAATCAAAGTTTTGACCAAATCTGTTACAGCCACAGAAGGATGCAGATTGGAAGGGCTCTCAGGAGATCGTCTTGTCCAACCTTGGGAGTAGAAATTTAGTCAGGACTGTGTCAAGCCAGGTGATTTTTCTTTATTTTTCCACTTATTTTTCTTCATTTAATGCCTTTAAGCAACGTGATCCTAACTTGGCAGTCATGAGACAGGATCCCGGTACTGAAACTCACCTGCGTGCTGCTGCGTTAGGTAAAGTGGGTCAGCACACTGCTGATCTCCCTGTGCCTACATAGAGACCCTGCTCCCTTCTGCCACCCAGCCCTGACACAGCTGAGTTTACCTTCTTTCTGTGTGCTTGCCTTTTTTTCCTTCTCTTTGTAATTCGGATGTCACAACCAACAGCTTTGAGCTGCCTGCTCACAGGAGAAGAGCTTAGATGACATGAAGGAAGGGGATTTGATGCATGTCTGTGAAATGGTGTGCGATGTGGACAGGGTAAATCAGGAGGCAACATGTTCAATCATTTCCAGCACAGCAAGCAGGGGACTTCAAATGAAACTGGCAGGTGTCACAAACGAAAGGAAATGGCTCGAGACACCAGGTGGAGTTAAATTGTGGAGCCTCTTGCTGCAAGGGGCTACAGGTGTTAATTAACATTTTGTCTGAGTTGAAAAGGGGACCAGACGCACTGATGGACTGTGGATTGTTGTATGCAAAGATCAGGCATCTACTTCAGGAAGGCCAAAGTCAGACCTTGCAGGAAGCCAAGACAGTATTTGGGCTGGGGGGGAAGGGTTTGGGTGCGGGGAGGAGAAAGAGGAACTGTGAGCATTTACTACACAAACAGCAATTCCTCGTTTTTTCTTCAGAGAGCGGTTGCGTCTTGACTTCTGTTCACTTTGTAGCATAGCCTCAGCCTTCAGGCTACTGTATCACCAAGAGGATACCAAGAATCAGGTGATTTGGCATCCATTCACCTCCTGTGTATCAAAACAGCACAGAAATACACTGCTAAGACGCAAACTGTTGAGCTTTGTCTTGGGTTCTGCTCTGTACCACAGGCATGGAGGTTGGAGAGAGAAGCAGTTGCACCTCGGGCAATACCTGTTCTCTTCTGCTGGGGCTGAAAGCCACAGGAGGTTGTGTTCGTTATCTCCAGACTTCCACTTAGGCTTCTATATCCTCTAGCCCAGGGTGGCTGGGAGAACCTGTCTGAGCATTTGCAGAAGTAGTCCTTAGCTTTGCCTTCTTAGCTAAAGGAAAGGTAATTTAACAAAGTTAATGTTCTTGTGCTGAACATGCATGTCTGTTGCATGGTTTTTCATGTGATGGACCTTCACTTGGCCATGTGTGCTTCTTCAGTGTGCAAGAGTCGATGTCTGTACAGCTTTGTCAGGCTTAGGCAGAGGCAGTTAAGGTGTGCCCTTCGACCCCCACCGTCATTCATCGTTTTTATTTCTATGTGCTCTGTCACATTCCCTACCAAATAAAACATGAGAGAGGTTTCAGCAGTGGAGATACCTCAGGCCCACCTCCCAGGGATCTCCCCTTATGACAGGGTGTCACTGGCAGCCCTACAGATGAAATTTTCAACCCTTTTAAACAATTCAGGGCCAGTTTCTATTACCTGTGTCCTAGACTACTCTTACAGTAGGAGAAACACTTGGACCCTCTGCAGTTTCATGCAGGCCCAGCTACGCTCCTGTAAGTCCTTCCCACTCCAAACAACAACAAAAAAAGCCCTTCATGACAGTAGGCATGGAGCTAAGTGTGCAGGCCTTCCCACCTGAGAGAGTCCTGATTTCGTCAGGCTTTAAGGTGAGTATGTACATAAATGGTCCCCACTCAGTGCCTGAAACTCACACAGGCTCTCCAGCAGCCAGAGGCCTTTTCTCTCAGCACCACAGCCGTGCTCCCATTAAGCTTTTTGCATACGTGGAAGTCGGTCATCGCCTACCCGTGAAGAGGCTCCTGCTTTGCACTGTGCAGATGGCAGCGTGCACCTCTTCGGCCAGACTCAGGGTGAGGGGTTTGCAGGTTTAGCTCCATTTTATTCACAAACCAGATGTTAATTCTGGGCAGGTGATGGTGAGCTACCAGTTTTGAATCACTTTTTCACTTCCCCCCCTCCCTCCCCTTCATCTGTTAAACTCTGTCTCAATTCATGACTCTTTTTGCTTGAGGCAGTTTTTCCCCAGATTCATGACCAAATCAATGAGTTGGTACAAAGGGTGATTGAAAGGAGTGTGAATGTAGAGGATAACTTCAGCTGTGTCCCTGCTTGGTTAGTGAGCACGTGAACTAGCCTCTGGACACAGAGTATGGTTTATAGATTAATGTCTTGGAGCAAAGCTTCCAGGTAGACCTATGCGATGGACTGATAGTAGCCAGCAGCTCAACACCCACGCTTCTGCTTGCTCACTCCTTCCTCCCCGGTTGGATGGAGGAGAGAATAGGAAGAGTAAAAGCAAGAAAACTCATGGGTGGAGATGAAGACAGTTTAACATGTGAGAAAAAAAAACAACGTGCAATGCACAAGCAGTTGCTCACCACCTCTTCCGAGCAGACTGATATCCAGCCAGCCCCTGAGCAGTGGACACGGTGGAAAGGAAAACACCCTGCCCCTTTTTTCCCCTACTTTTTCAATATGGTCCTAGATATTTACAGACCATACTATTACCGTGTTGTGTATCAACAAACTGTATAATGTGAGATCGTCCCAGTCCTACCAGGAAGCAGTACCCATTTGAAGATATCTATGTCTCTTCTGTCAGCTTTCCAGGAGCTTTGAATACTCCAAAAATAAAGGCTTGGCTTGGCTTTGGTGGGTTTGGTTTCACAACTTAATGAATCTCTCTGTTTGGAAACCCAGAATGCTCCCCTGCTTTCTGTTAGGACTGCTGATCTTCACCTGGATCTAAAATGTTTTCCATTTGCTGCCTGAATTTTAGATGTCCCAGGTAATCATGTCTTTCCAGTAAGAAACAGCAAAGAGGAGTCCGCCTGGTCTAACTTAGTGAAGAGGCTTGTGAAATGGTGATTTCTTTCAAGTTGTTTTCCCCATCATGAGCTCCTCTATTTACCCTTGCTTATCTACTGGAATTAAGGAAATGTGGCCTTTCACATGGTCTCATCGAAGTCTTCTCAGCAGCAGCCCTAGCCATGGACTCCTCAGTCTTGAGATGAAAGGTATACTATCATTTTGCCATGAGCAGTTTTTAATATCCTGACTGGACGTCACCCTCCAAATAGAGACCAGCCCCTCTTTGTCTGTAGAACTCCATTCAGGTCCTCATAACGAGTAAGCCACACCAACCTACTTGTCAGCTGCCTGCTTTATCTCTGAAAAGGGTGAGCGAGATCCAGATCTGTACAGCCCAGCCTGTCACATGGAAAAGGTCATCACAAGTTTTTAACAACGATGGGTCATCATGAAGACAACAGAGCATATTGAAGAAAACTGATTTGGGAAGAGCTCTAGGTTTCCAGTATTACCGGCCTCCCTTGCTCCCATGCAGCAGCTTGTTACCACCTCCCTGGTGATGGCTACCAGCCCCACAGCACAACTGGGAGAAGAGCTAAGACAGATGCTCTCTAAGCTATTTTAAAGTCGTGTCCCAGGCCAGCTGAAACCACCACCACTTTTGGCAGTTTCAGATAAGCACTCTTGAAAGAGTCTCCTCGCTGATAGGAGCTTGCACGAGCTGCGAGTGCTGGCAAGCAGCGAGGGGAAGCAGTGGCATCAGCTGCCCCAGCCATAAATCGTCACTGTCTTTGTCTTCACGACTGCTCAGGAAGCTGAGCTTATCATGGCTTTTAAAGATCTTTATTTTATTGTTTTATTCAGTATCTGAGAAATAGTAAAATAAGGAGAAAAAAGCTTTTTTTTTTTTTTCAAACTGGTAGCTAACCGGACCAAAGCACTTCAGCAAAAGCAGTATTTTGATTTGAAGTTAGCTGTTTGTTTTCAAATTCACATCAACATTCCCCAAGTCTAGACTTGAAAATAACACAATGACTAACATGAGAAAACAGGGACAGGGTAGCTCAAGATTTTCAGCAGAGACCTTCATTTCCATGTAAAAGTGAATAAATACTTGCATTATGGGGTGCTGTGATACATATTTGAGTTACATTTTACGTACAAATATTAAAAAAATAACTTCTTGCCTTTAAAGTTTTATAATCACAGATGAAATGCAGACCAAAAGTAAAAAAAAAAAAAAAAAAACAAAACAAAAAAAAACAAACAACAAAAGACAAAACATTAATAGACTGAAAAGAGTTTGTAATGGTGTGATGTTAATAGTACACATATTTTATTTCTACAACTTCTAGGCAACCATGAGCGGTCTTCCTGTGGTTTTATCAGGTTATCATTTATTTGCTCCTATAGCAACAAATTCTTAAATAATATTTTCCAATAGTTCATTAAAAAAGCCGACAAGAACAGAGCTGCTAGAGCATACAGAATTAAGCAGAACTTCTGCTGAAAACAAATTTTCTTGCTCCACTTTCCTGTGGCTGCATAGTGTCTTTTGTAACTAGAAACTCAATTTTGACAGTGTAAGTGGCCTGAAATACAGGGTCTTTTGCACTTTCTCTCCCATTATAAAGTAATTACTAATAACGTTTCCATGCTGCTGTTCAGATTTGACCCTTCCATGTTTGCAGGTAGGTGGAGGTCAGCACCTAAGGAAGGAATTTCAGGGATGACAATCGTAACATGCTCTGATGACTTTCCAGTCCAATCTCAATGCTGGAGAGATACAGCTGCAATAAATATCATTTATTCTGACATCTGGCATAGCTTTTACCGGTAATTATTGGGCATTTTTTAGCTTTCCTTTTTCATCACATGGCGCAATTACCAGGTTGTGTTGGTGTATTAATAAGGCAGCAGACAAAAGAAAAGACGTGTGGGCCAGGAATAAAGCAGGGAAGGAAACTGTCCCGTTACGGAAGGGCACGACAGCAGGAACCCAAAACCTGCATCCTGGATGTATCTTGGTATTCAGCCAACTCCAGGAGGACGTGTTTAACTCATTTGGTCTTTCCTCTGGCACCATTTCAGTGTGCCCAAATGGATTCCGGACGTGCTCTGTGAGGGCTTAGTGGGAAAGCTCGTCCTTTCCCAGCCCTTCCTGCTGTTACCATTTATTGAGCTCAGGTTAACAGGTTGTCTTGTGTCCATATCTGGCTTCAGCAGAAGTTTTGAAGAACCATGTAGCAACGTTCTTTTAACCAAACCACTGTAGTTTTCATATTTTAGTCTCTAACATCAACTTATTTTCTGTGTGCTTATAAATAATTAATATACAACTTTGAAACTCTGTAATACACACCGGAAAGAAAAGCTTTCCTTCAGGAAAAGGGTTTGAGAGATAATACACCTTGAAAAGATGAGGGATTTAACATATGGGAGATATTTAATATTGGGAAGAACCAAAGAGTTCATTAATTTTTCATCTATTATATTTGACAATAGTATCTCTGTGGATTTTCCATTAAGACATACATGCTCCAGGTACTACAAAATAACAGTTTTACCTCCAAAGGACTATTAACTAAGCACTAGAGATAGTCAGACTGTACAGAAGTTGTCTGTTTTATCTGGAAGTTTGATTCCTTTGCTTGTGTGGCGGAGATAACAAAACCATTGCTGTAATTGGAGCTCAGCTAGGAGCCTTGCAATTTTCAGACGTGCTAGTTGTAGTCACTCTAAACGGTTTGATCTATTTTTGGCTTGATCCTTTCTCAGACATACAGTTAAGCTGACTCAAGTCTTTGCTCGATTTAATAACATCCAGGAGTACGTATGTGCAGTGTGGAATTTGGACATTCACAATGGTGTGCGTTTCCTGGAAAAAGTAATGAGATCAGTCAAAAGGACGGAGCTAGGAAATCGTAGCTTCGAGTTTTCCTGCTGTCCTATGGTCATTCTTTCTCAGTCTAACACCATTCCTTGATTTCCTGACGGTCTGAGAAACGGAGTATTCCTTAAGCTGCTGTACAGGGAACACAGAGATTTTGATGTGAACCCAGGGTTTGTAAGCCTGCTTCACCACAGTGCACTCCAGACTTTATTTTTCAGGTAACTTCCCATTGGCGGATTTTGCAAGTACCATCATTTGTGTTTCTCCCACATCTCGTGAGCTTTCTTCGTGGTGGGACCTGACGGCGCTCGAAATCGATACGCTCACTTGTCGCCTCAGTATTTTCAGTACAGTTCTTTTGTATCCTTTGCAGGCAAAGAAATAGATGAACGGGTCTAGGCAGCAGTTAAAATTCATCAGAAACACAGTATAATGGAGCGACTTCTGGAAAATTTGCTTTTCACTGCAGTCGGGATCGTGCTGAAGCTTCTTAATCATGTGCTGTATGATTGCAACGTGGTAAGGGGTAAAGCAGATGACGAACACTATAATTACAAATACGATGGTGTTGATGGCTTTTTTGTTTATCCCTGATTTTTCAGTCAGTGGATTTTCCTTGGCTGTTTGAAAAAGCTTGCAGCTAATTTGAGAGTAACAAAAGAGTATAATTCCAAGGGGAATAAGGTACCCTACTAAACAGGCAGCGAGAAGTATAAATGGTAGATGGGTTATTTTTTCAAAGTTTGGGTATTCCATGCATGTAGTCTTTCCATTTTCTGTATGTGTCATGGATTGTATAAGTAACGGGAAAGTCTGGCTGAATACAAGAAACCAGATAAACACACAAATACCCTTGGCATATTTAATCCTTCTGATCTTGTATCGGAAGGGGTGGACGACAGCAAAAAACCTGTCGATGCTCAGAAACGTCATGAAGTTTACACCTGCGTAAGTGTTGATGTAAAACAAGAGAGCAGTTATTCGACATAAAGCTTCTCCAAAAGGCCAGTGGAAACCCAGGGCGTAGTAGGCTATCCTCGTGGGCAAGGCGATACAAAACAGCAGGTCTGACAAGACGAGGTTTGTTGAGTAGAGAGTAGTAGAATTGATCTTCTTTCTGTTTTTGAAAATGACCGTGAGGGCGATTGTGTTTCCAAGCACTCCGAAAATCAAGATGAGGCTGTAGAAGACGGACAGGAGTATCCTGGCTGTATCTTTGTGTTCGTATAAGTCACAGGTAGAATTGTGGGTCTGAGAAGTGGTGGAAGTGTCCATTTCTGCAACCGCTGTTTTTGCAGGAAGCTCAGTAGACCTAACGTGAAAAAACACAAGGGGACATTTTGTAATATGTGTAGATAAACTCCTTCTGCAAAACAACGGTCAACCCGCATTGCAAAAAGCAAGATACTAAAAAACTGAAATGAAACTTCATTGTGGTGAAAGACTTTCAAGCCTCTTTCCAAAAACAAACAAACAAACAGATGGCTCTGTCTGGCTTTTCTATTTCCATCCCCATGCCTTCTCTCCTGAAAAAAAATGAGACAACGGGCAAAGTAATGAACCAGGGATGCCATATACTTAGAAAGCGAAGCTTACAGGCAGATGGGCAGGAGGTGGGTGGCTGTTCACAGCAATCTGAGAGGAAAAGGGAGCCTGAAGACACCACGTGATAAAAGAGCATATGAAGTCCCCAAGGGTCAGTCAAGGAGACAAAATTTTTGAAATGTGTCGCTGTTAATTTTTAGGTAGTTTTTATTTCTAAGAATTCACTTTGTGATGGTTTAACTTGTATGGAGAAAATATTTTTTTTCAGCATTCCTGCTTATCATACTGGCATAATAATTTAGCCTGTTTAATGCTAGTTCAAAGAATTTGCTTTTGCAGTCTAATTCAAATATTGTTTATATACATCAGTGGATAAGGCTACTACTTCAGTCTCTTACTAATCATGCTGCAAAAGAGATAAATCGCAGGTAAAGTATTTCACGTGTCATGATTTAGTGGATTTTGGAAATTGTTTAACCTGAACGGTCGAAAATGGCACGGAAGAAATGCAAAGTGGCAGTGACTTGGGGGACTTCCAATAAAAAAAATGAGTTAGCAGAATTTAGAAACAGAAAGGATTCTGTCCTGTTTGTGTTGCCTCCGGTGCAGAATATTTTCGGTTGTGTTGTTATACCTCACAGTTGCACAGTGTAAGCATAAATGGCAGAAAGGATGGGGCATCTAATGTTACTCCTTCAGCAGCTGTTCTGCAAAGCATTACCTAAAGTCTGAAGAATTTAGCTCACAAATCACAGGGAGAACTTTATTGTTGATTAGTACCATCCTTAAAGTATCTGTCATGTTTATGGTTTTCCTTCTTAGCTGTTCCTCACTGAAACCATTGCTTGGGTATCTGATCACTGTGAGTTCATATATAAAAGGCATGTTGCGTTGGGTTTATGTGGCAAGGTGTTGGTAGCAGAGGGGCTGCAGGGTGGCCTCTGTGAGCAGAGCCCAGCAGCTGCCCCATGGCAGGTCAGAGCAGGCTGTCCCCCTGCAGCCCATGGGTCCCACATGGAGCAGATCTCCACGCTGCAGCCCCCCCATGGGTGGAGGAGCCCCCGGTGGAGCAGGTGGATGTGGCCTGGAGGAGGCTGCGGCCCATGGAGAGCCCCTGCAGGGCAGGAGCAGGCCCCAGGCCGGAGCTGCAGCCCGTGGAGAGGAGCCCACGCAGGAGCAGGGGGTCTGGGGGGAGCTGCCGCCCACCCATGGGGGACCTGTGCTGGAGCAGTTTGCTCCTGGGGGATGGATGGACCCCATGGTGCAGGCCCATATCTGGAGCAGTTCTTGAAGAGCTGCTGCCTGTGGGCAGCCCAGGGGCAGAGAGGGACCATGAAGGAGCAGCAGAGATGAAGCGTCAGGGACTGACCACAGTCCCCACTCCCCTGCACTGTCTGGGGGGAGGAGGCAGGAGAGGGTGGTTAGGGAGGAAGGTGTTTGTAGTTTTGCTTTTTTGTTTCTCCTCGCTCTAGCTTGTTAGTAATAGGTCATAAATTACATTAATCTCCCTATGCTGAGTGTGTTTTGTCCATGACGATAATTGCTGAGTGATCTCCCTGTTCTTATCTCACCCCTTGAGCCCTTTTCATCATCTTTTCTCCTCCTTTCCCTTTGAGGAGGGGGAGTGGGAGAGCAGTTGTGGTAGAGCTCAGCTGCCTGGCTGAGTAAAAACACCACACGCTTCCCACTCTTTTGACTGTGAAGTGTGGTTGTATCTATCAGTCCTTGCTGGAGAGACTGCATGTGAAAAGAAGTGAGGTGATTTTATTCCCTGCGCCCTCCAGAAGACCTGTAGGAAAGCTTCCAATAGCCAACCAGGCACACTGTGTGTGTGTTCACACGCTGATGTAAGAAGGTGATCACCAGGAGAATATTATTGCGAAAGTCTTTCAACATCACTGCTGCAAGCACCATCACTTCAGAATTATACAATGTTCTATTTGTGCAGTTATATATATATATATATATATATATATAAAATAATCTTATGTACAGTCTTGGATGCTCTCAGCAATCACTCTAATTGGTCCTTTTGAAAATCTTCAGACCGCTTGTGTCTGTATGACTGTAACGTGTCGGTATTTCTGCAGATATTAAATATTAGCACCAGTTTTGTTATCAGACATCTTTGCCATCTGGATGACTCATACAAACTGTCAGCCTGTGTGTCTGCACTTATATGGATTAAAGTAGCAGTCAAAACAAGATTGCTTCTGCTGTAATGCAGAATATCTGGAGATAAAAGCTGTTGTAAACTGATTTTTACATCCATCTGATATCTTTAATTAAAGCATCTAGGTTATTTCTGAGGATCTGCCTTTCAATGCACAATATTTGCAAACAACTACAACCTGCTGTACCTTAAAGAAGTCTTTCGAGAAAACGCTTCTCCTTTTAACATGTTTTAAGCTATACCTTTTATAAAGTATTAATTGCCTTTTTATTTACTTGTGGAGGCACTGGAAGGTTAGTATCTTCTTTCATGTTTTGATGAGATTTATTTCAGGTTGTTCACAGTTAATTTATCTGCAGCATGTATTATAACCCAGTTTGATCAGACTTCTGCCTAGGTTAGCAGGGATATGTAAGGTTCCCTGTAAACACTAAAGCTGCAGATAATGGATGATGGATCTCAAATTCCTGATTTTTACGTAACTGTAGACTCCATGTGTTAAGATACACGAGTAAGTTATATTACATGTGATTAAGGAAGAAATTCAGCATCCAAATACTATACCAAGTCTATACACTAGCTATATCAAGTCTTGTAGAGGCTGTTGGAAAAAACAGGTGAGTGATTTCCGACTGATAAATGTGCAGTGTTCTGATTCTTAAGATACCAGGGAAGCACGTAGCATGTGTCAAGAGATGTGAACGCTGCATTTGGGGTTGGGAGTTAAATCTGATCTGGGAGCACTGTGGCTTGAATACAGGAATTGAATTGGTAGAAATCAGCTCTGTAGCTGTTGTACAGATTTAGGAATGTCTGGGATGTCTCAGAGTGTGTCTTCCATGTAGAAGCATGTAGCATGGTTCATTTTACTTAAGTGTAACAGGCTGCTTTTTGCAGAGAATGTCGTGTGGTTTGTTCTGTCTCTCTTATTTGTGTGTTTCTGATTACTTGTTCAGACTCCCAGCATGACATCTGTCTTCTACCCATGTCTTCCTTGAAATCTAGGTAAAATCATTTCTTAAACATAGCAAAGAAAAATTATCTAAGATTTATGATAAACAACTCTACAGCAGTGACTACCTATAGCATATTCATGGCATAGTTTTATTTCCTGTTTGCTGTAATGTGATAGTTTTTGTTCATAAATAATATTGAAATATTATACTGAAAAGGAGTCCAGCCAGGAGAGAGCTGGTGCCTATCCATGGTGCTAGCACAGCCATACGTAGGGGGTGGCTCACTCGAGCAGCTCTTCCCCTTTTCCCATCCTTCCCCACTCAACACAAGGCAAGCTCAGGTACGTTCCTGGTTCCTAAGGAAGTTCCCTAGTCGCACGGTGAGACAGACCGGCCACAAACAGATGAGAAGAAAGCCAGAGAACCACGGCTGGTGCACTTCCAGGTCAGCATGCACGTCATTGCTCCTTGGCAGAGGATGTCAGCAGGCTCCTCGGCTTGCTGTGGGAGTCAGCCCTGGGCAGGGATTCCCTCTGATCCTCTGCTATCCCCAAAATATTTTGCCTGCTGAAGTAGGGCGCACGTTTTGCAATACTGGAGATGAGTACTGGTGTTCAGTTTGTATATAGTTAACGTGGGGGCATTTTCAAGCAGTCACTGTGATGTCTAGCTGCTACATTTCCTGAATATAGTTCATATTTTTAAAAGCAGTTGAGATACTCTATCTGTCTTGGGGCTCAAACAGATGATAAAGTCGCTGCCATATCACAATTTAATGTACATCAGCTGACCTATGGTAACTTCTTGGTACACCCGAGCTCTCGTTGGATGAACTCCATTTCACCTCAGCAGGCATTTTAGCTTTTCTTGTCAATCTTGAACCAGGCTGCTTTTAAAATAGTAATTTCTTCCTGAAAGGTGTCTAGACTATTAAGTAAAACAAGATAGTTTTTGAGTTGTATTCCTTGTGTCAGGTTGCTATTTATTACTTGGCAGCAAGCCTTAGTAGTCAGTCTATTATACATACACAGCGTATGCCACACTCCACAAATTGTATCTGAAAAAAACAACAGCCCTAACTTGGGTACTTACTGCATTTTTTGCATTCCTAGAGCAAAAGTGGAGAACATTACCTCCCTACTGCTGCAAACCTCGGACCAGCTGAGCAGGGCAGTGACTTCTTACTGATTTTAGTGAGCTGTGTGCCCTACAACCTTACGAGGACATGGCTGTGCACTATCACGAATGGAGACACACCACTGAAGCTCACCTTTGGAGTCACTGCCAGAGCGTTTGCTCTTCTCTGTTGACGGATGAAACACCCCTCTCCAGTGGCTTACGGGGTTTATTTATGATATTATTTTTGAAGTATATATTTGGAGGGAAAAAAAAATTGGTAATTTACTTTACCAATTTAATAATTTTAGAAAATATTGCCACAGTTTTTGGCAGAGGTACGTAAGAAAATTTAAGGCATAAAGTTTTTAACATTCCTGTCTTTATATGATATTGTAAAGAAGGTTATGTAGGTTTTTACTTTTTTCTGAGTCTGCAGACATGCAGTCCTCGATGGCACTGATAAAGCTCTAGTGCAGAGAGACCACTTACTCATTTAATGTGACCTCCCATGTAATCCAGGTCATGTTAGTGTTTTAGCTGTTTGTGTATGGATTCTGCTGTCCTGATTCACAGCATATTTTCCACAAGGGTATTTGGTCTTGACTTGGGGATCTAGAGAGGGAGAATTAGCCCTTTGTATTGGAGCATTGTTTAGTCAACCTCCCTGTCAAAAATGCGGGTGTCTCTTATTTTACTCCCAAATCAATTTGCAGATGCTGTTTTTGTTGAGCCTTTCCTCTTAGAATAAAGCCTGCTTGAGCAAATAGCCCCTGTCCGCCCACGGAGGTGTTTATACAGCCTCGGTGTTTTGGCAATTCAAGGTGAGCCTCTCAGATGTCTCACAGTAAGGCAAAATAATCTGTGACTACTGCTCCAACTCCAGTTCAATCTGCTACAGGAGATGGGGTTCCAGGTGTCCTCAGCACTGTGCCCCTGCTTTTTCTGCCCTGTGGATTAGAACTGGGGAGTCCTTCCCCAATTCATTATGTCTGTCCTAGGGTAACTCCAGTCTGTGGGTATGGCCGTGGTCCTCTGCCTCTACCTGGGAGAGTTTCACATTAATACTATGCCCAGGCTTACAACCGGTGTGCCTTGTGCCTTACTGTTCTGTCACTTGCCACTTCCAAGTTTTTTAGCCTTGTATTTGCTTTCTGGTCATCGATGAAATATGTTGACATAGACCCACCACGCAATGTTTTTTTCTATGGCCAATTACTTGATGAGATTTGTTAGCTAGCTGGCTTTTAATCCGTTCTCTGTGGTTGCTTGATGTTTTACAGCCATAATATCTACTCAGAAAAAAATCACAGTACCAGGTCAAGCTGCTTATAAAATCTAGAGTGTGTTAAATCTGTGCAGGTGCCTTTGTCAACCGGAGAAGGAAATTAAGTTCTTTTAGGCGATCGGTTTTCTGTGAAAACGTTTGACTGGCATTAGTTATTTGTTTTACATCTGTAGCACAGTACACAAGAGCCCAGCTCAGGGTAGACTTCCCACAGTGAAGGCTGTTTGATGAATGGAAATGGCTCGAGTCTGGATGTACGTCATCCAAAGCCCGGGTTCTCTGAGCTGTGTCTGTACGATGGCCTTTACACGTAGGGTACCAGTGTTGCATGTATTCAACTATTAAAGGGCATAAACCTAAGCTATGAGCCGGCAACTGTAGCATTAAAAACTTAGATTACATGCTTTAAATTGTAAATTGAAATTATAGACTTGTGTATGAATATCTAAGGGGAGGGTGTTAAGAAGATGGAGCCGGTCTCTTTTCAGCTGCGCCCAGCGAGAGGACGAGAGGCAGCGGGCACAGACTGAAGCACAGGAGGTTCATTCTCATTATGAGAGGGCACTACTGCACGGTGAGGCTGACAGAGCACTGGCACAGGCTGCCCAGAGAGGTTGTGGGGTCTCCTTCCCTGGAGATACTCAAAACCCTCCTGGATGCCATCCTGTGCAATGTGCTCTAGGTGATCCTGCTTGGCAGGGGGGTTCTGCAGAGGTCCCTGCCAACCTCAGCCATTCTGTGAAATGATGTGCAAGCAGTGCTACAAAGCTGTCTCTCTCTAAACTAAGTGAGTTTTCCTCCTGTTATCATCTCCTACTTTTGGTATAGGAACACCATCTGGTTTTTGTTTGTTTTTGTTTTTAGCAAGAGAGAGAATATATAAAATGCTTTAACTGCATATTGTAACCTAATGTATTACTTTTGACCAGTAATATTTACTGGCTGAAACTCTAACTTAACATACATGTGGTCTTCACTGTAGTGTCAGTTTTGTGAAGCAAACCCTTGAGAAAAGGGTTTGCTTCAGCTAAGTTACGTTCATTAAGAAGCGTGCCTGCTAAGTTGCATTGTAGAAAGCTTTGTTAAAATGGGAAAGTTGATATAACTAAGAAAGCTGCACATACCTAGACATGCAGTACCAGCTTGGGAACTACACGTGGTTAATAAAAGCTGAGGCAAGAGACAGGCGTGTCCTGAAGCTTCCTGTTTCTTTCTAATGCTGTAACCCTCACGTTCTTGTAGTGCATTACGTTAATTTACAGTTTTCAGAGCTGTTCAGTTTTGTGTCCAAAATTGCAACGAGTAAGCCTGATGATTGAATCCACAGGTCACCACCTATGGCTAATTTTGGTGAGATAGTTTCCAGTCTAGTGCTTTTATTCTTTCGTAGTATAAACCCAAATTTGAGAATCCAAAGTGTGCATTGCACCAATTAAATTCTCTTAATGATGGCTATGAAGAATTAAAATATTCTTTAAACGTCTCTAACAGAATCTGCAGATGCAGACTGTATGGGGTCTTTATGGTCCGGCTTTTATCTACTACTCTTTCACAAAGTTGCATGATAATTACTTGTTGTGTCCCAAAATAATAAAAGTTACGGTAAAGTAAGTGAAGTGGAAATAAAGTTGGGTTGAAATGCTGCATGATTAGTTAAAGGAAAAGTGGAAGATGTGTATGTCTCTAGCTCTTATCTGTTGGATCTGTCTTTCCCAATGTGATCCCTGCTATGAAAGTGTGAGAATTATCCAACCTAAATCATATTTTCCAAAGATGCGTGTTAATGTGAAGAGCTCATGCTGAGAAAATTAACCTCCCTTCAGTTTACTTGCTTAAGTCTATTTGATGTAAAAAAGAGAGAGCCTAAAAAATAGCAAATAAGCAAGAGAAAAACCTGAGCCACAACTACATTCCTGCAAGTAGAAGGAAAGAAAGATGAAAAAAAAAACAAAAACAAAAACACAAATAAGGAATTTGTATCTCAATAACTAGAAAAAGTGCACACTTTTTTTTTTCTGTCCAGATGATATGGAACCTGTGCAGGTATGGTCTTAATTAATTTTAGGGATTAAAACTTCATGACTTTAGTTTAAATTTATTATTTGTTGCGTGTGTACATACTCCTCAATCTCTGAAGAGAAAGAGATGAGATTTGAGCTGTTAAAGACTAATTGCCTGCTAAGTCTTCAGTCCCCTTGTCTCTGTTCAGGAGGAGCCATGGAAATGCTAGGCAGACCTCTGACATGCTGTGCTTAGGGGCATGCATGCCACCTCTGTGTTTTATTATAAATGATAGTTGAGTCGCTGCCTGTTGAGCAGTCCATCTTGTTTTGCCAATATTACATAAAAATATATCCTGTTTAATAGGAAGGTGTATAAAAATTGGATCACTTGTAATATTCCTTTGTCTTTGTGGCATGAAGATCAGTAATAGGGAGAAATCTAGTTGGTGATTGCAGTTCAGGAAAAGAATGCCTTCTAAAAACTTGGAAAGAAACGTGTCAGAAGGTGAGAGAGGAATTAGCTCGTAAAATTTAGGATTTCTAAAATATTCTGCTGCACTATTCAGACAGGAGAAGAGTGACTGAGAGCTCTTGAGCAGAGAATAAAGACAAGTAGCGCGTATGAATGAGCAGGCTGTGCATTCACTGCCATAGGACAGATTTGTTTTAAGGCTTTCTCCTAGTATTAAAGTATTTTGCAAGGTTCAGTGAATGACTAAAGGACTGCAGTGTCTCACTTAATACTTGAACAGTAGTTATTTTGCGTTAGTATCATTTAAATTACTTTGTGAATGACTGAAAAAAGCTAAAATAATGCAGTATCAAACATTTTCTGATTGTCAAAATTATTAGAAATGTTATTATAAGAAATCAGTTTTATAAGAAAACATTTGAAATAACTTGCTGATGTTGTGGATCATCTGGCATTTACATAAGAAATAACAAGTAGCATATTAATATGGCAGTGTAAAATGTTACAGAATTTATTCTACAAGCCTTGTCTCTCCTACTACATGAACATATTCATCATAAGGCAATAAAGAAATCATCTTTCTGGAGTTGTTTGCTGTTCAGTGAAAAAGAAAAAAGTTATTTCTTGTCTGTACTTACATATCCGTGGCTTCTTAGATCCTCTGAGCAGCTAAGGGCATTAGCAGGATGGCTTGACTGTGAAAGTTTACCCTTGCACATTGTTTTCAAGACTGATTACGTGAGTCTCTTTAGTGGGAGGGGTAGATCTTTTTTTTTCATGTGCTTAAAAAAAAACCTTGTTTGTATGCTGGTCCTGATTTGCTGCCTACAGTTTTATGGGATGTGAAAGCATCTATTTTTAATTCTTTTGCAATTAGTCTGTTCAAAGAGAGTAATTAGAAAACGCCTCCCCCCCGCCACAAGCAACGCCTTACTGACTTTGACTTTCGTAGAGGGACTTTACCCAGAGGTTTTCTTGACGAATTGTTGACGAACCAAAAAATCCTGAGTGAAGAACGTTGTTTATATTACATCTGCATTTAAAAAAAAAATAATAAAAGGAAAATCAATAACCCACAACACTAAAGCTTAGTTCGGAGCAAAGAGTCGTATGATGGGTACAGGCTTTAAAATCGCTTCTTACTGATCAGATCTGAGACAGCACGAGAAAACCTCAGGCGTGGGGCACGCTGATACGCTGTGTAAAAACAGCCATCTCCACAGCCCCTGTGCCTTCCCAGCAGTGTTTTAGGACCGTAATGATGAGGCTTTGCAGAAACGCCCTGTGAAAGTTTGTGAGGGAGTTGAGGAGCCCGGCTGGTGCTAGAGAGCCGTGGGGATGTGTGACTTGGTAAGCATATTGCATTTTGAGCAAGGGTGCTAGTGGTAGTAATACACACATGAGGCATGCACGTTAAAATGAATACACAGCTCTTAAAACAAACGTTGGATTCTGCTAAAATGATATCGGTAGGTATAGGTGGGAATGGGAAAGGGATGGGATGTCAGATCGTGGGGTAAGCTGTAGGCACCTGCAGGAACCTTGTTTCTGGGTAAGGAGCCGTGATCTGACAGTGAAACCGTGTTTGCTGCAAAGGTTATGGAGATCAGAGATAGCTGGAAAGCCCTGCCATTTGCTGTCAGAGGCGGTGGCTGAGCGGTACGTGGGATTTTCCCCACAAATTCATACTGATCGTTCATGCCTGCGAAAGGCAGTTTATCTTGCAAGTGGCCTCATTTTAGTGGCCTGATTCTCAAAAATGAGCAAGTAGGCGTGACCGTGCCAGTCTTGGCGGGTCCAACGTATGCGGAGGTGGGATGCTTTTTGGGACAGCTCGGGCGCTGCTCACAGGGCGAGCTGGTGACACTGCCACGCAGGACCTCGTCTGCCTCGTCAGGAAGCCTGAAGTAAATGCAGGGTTTGTGACAGTTCAGCTTCACTGAACATATCTCATCTCACAGGAAACGTCCTTGCTGTAGAGGAATGAAACGGAGCCTTGCCGGTTACTCCCTTGCTTGCTTGGAGCTCGTAGGGGGCACCACACCGTGATTTTCTGTGGGCACAGCATGGTTCTCCTCAGGTGCCAGGGAGCTGAAGTGCCTGGTGTAAAATTTCCTGCTCCGCAGTTGTTGTGGGCATTTATCCTCCAACACCACGCTCAGAAAGTCTGTGAGAAAACATACTTGGCTTATTGTAAAGCTTTTCTCAATTGTTTTCAAATTATTTTAAAACTATTTAGCTTCATCAGAGAATAAAATCTCTTTAAATGAAGCAATGAGACTTTACTTTTCAAAGGGAAATTACAGAGGGAACTTGCTTCATCTGTACACAGAGTCATACTGCAATGTGGTTCCCTGTCCAGCAGCAAAAATATGTGGTCGAAATGAGAAATTTCTAGATACAAAGGCAGTTGTAGTCTGGGTTCAGGGGCTGACATTAATATCACAACTTCATATTAAAGGAAATGATCATTTCAGAATAGCTGTAGCGTTATGAAAATAATACCAAAATGCTTTTCCTGCTCCGATCTGATAAAATACTACTTTTCTTTGACTAATATACACTACTAGGTTGTACCCTTGGAGCTACACTTGTACGTCAGCCACCCATCCAGCCCAGCCTCACAGGATGTTAACTGCTTGATCTGAATGATACAGATTGCATTCCTCTCCACCGTTTCTCTTTCTAGCTGTTTGGTTGTTGTCTCACACTGCTGCTGTTTCTCCAACATCAGCCTGTCCAGAACTTGAAGAGTTAAACCCCAAAAAGTGACATGTGTCAAAAAGGGTGATTTGTTTGTGTTTACCTTTGGGATGCAGAATTCTGCTGGTTTGCTTTTGGCATTCAAGGAGCGTAACATGTAAATTAGTAAACTAATTTGTGACTTTCAGAGATGGTTACATCAAAGCAGTGCAGTTAATATTTTGACCACCGTGTTATGATGCCAATGATAATTTATTTTTCTGTCTGCTTGCTTAGTCCCTACTCTATTTGAGCAGCTCATAAAAGGGACCGAATTTAGCCTTACAATTCTAGATGTAGAGAGCTACTACGCCAGGTAAGAAGTGACTTCTGAAATTTATGCAGTGTTTTTATGGATCGACCAGAAAATGAATCCAGACAGCCCGAGTCCCAGTTCAGTTTCTTATCTGCAAAACTGCCCTTCCTTCCAAAACTAACTCTTTTTTTTTTTTTTTTTTTTTTTTTTAAGTCTGGGAGAGAGCTCAGGTGTCTTGAACTAATGTCTGGCTGAACCCAGCCCTTTTGTGGACAAATGTTATTTTTCAAGTGACTTGAATTTGAGGAACAGCAAGTGATGACTCCTCAGTGAGTCACGGTCTTACTGTCTGCTCTCCAGAGGCCAAATAAATTGTGTTAGGTTAAACTGGAGAAATGAGATGTTGCTAGGCACCCAAGCCAGATGAACTTGTGACACTTAAAATTTTCAATATAGCTGTCCAACCATGTTCTTCCTCAGCAAAATACCCATCCGAACCCCTTCAGTGTATTCTCATGCCTCCACGTGCCTTCTGCCTCCCTTCAAGCTCTGTCCCAGACTTAGTCCAAGGTGAGATTCTCAGGGAGACCCTGCCTTTTAGAAAGGTGCAAGCTCCTCTTCCTTGCTGCACTCCGACTTTGGGTAATGCTTTCAGTCACAAAAGCAGAGCTACCTGGTAAGCTGTCACCATCAGTCACTTGGACCGCTTGCTGCAAATAGCTGATGCAAAGCTGCTGCTGTCAGCGGGTAAGCACAGGTACCGAGCTGGGTAACACATCTTTGACGTTATTAAAGACAGTGGTTGTTGCTGTGATGTTTTTCTTGATTAGGGTGCAGGGTTTGGTGAGCCATGGCTATACCTATCTGTTTCATCAGTATCACCCTCAAAATGCTTGGTTTGGGCCTTCACAGGAATGGCAGCGTGCTACCCACGTATTAAAGAATAGACAAGGATCGTGACTTTTTTTTTTATTTATTCTTGTGGTGCTATAAGCTGTATAAGTCTTTGGTAGTCTGCAAAAATGGCTTTCACGAAGGCTGTCTATTGAGAATACCTCACTGAAGAAGCTTTATGTTGCGTATTGTAGCAGGCTGCTGGTATGGAAGTGATCACGTACCCTAGGTCAGCCAGCAGATAGCTGAACAGGACAACAGAGAACATTTCTGTGAAAGAGTAGCAGATGTTATCTTCAGCTTTGCAAAGCAAAGGTTGAGAGGCGATGATGATGAACTGATCTTTGTAGAAGGAGCTAAAGAACAATGTTAGCATCTTGTTAGCGGTAAACAAATTGCAAGCAAAATTGGAAGAAAGCTTCTAGCCTGCAGAAAAGGAAGGTTCTGGGTTATCTTGCTGATGGGAAGGGAGGGAAAAGAAAGTGACGCTGGTCTAAAATGGAACTGAGCAGTTTATGGAATAAATCGTTAGATAGTCTTGGCATTAAAAATTAAAGCTTTTTTGTAGGAGCAGAAGATGTCTGACTTTTATCTTCACAAAGGGACTGTAAACTGATCTGTTGGTTGGTCACATGTTTTAGTGAACCCAAAGTTGTAGTTTATCTGTTAACATGTCCGTGGAAAGGAGGAAACTTTCTTTTCTCCTCAAGATGTACATTCGCCAAGGGTTGTGACTTGGTTGTCTTGTTAGTTGTTTTCTTTTTTTTCTTTTTTTTTTATATTCATCTTTTTTACATACAGGAGTACTGGGTAACATACCCTACTGTTTCTGCTGGTGTGAAGAAGCTTCAGGCACTGGGGCGTCCTGCTCACGTCTAGCAGAAAGGTTGGGTACAACAGATGGTTGCTTGTAGTCCTGGCTTCCATCAGTTAGAGGATCACAGCTGTCAAGGGCTGTCATATTTCAGGGAGTCACCTGCTTTTAAGGAATGTTTTTTGAGGCTGCTTAACATTTTCAGAATAAAGGCTGCCACCTTACGCATCATTTGGCAGTATCTGGACAGCCTGTAGAAATGCAGAGTGCTGAATAAACATGATAACTTGAGTTACTGATAAAGCACACTTTTATAACTGATATTTGCAGCCCCACAAAAATACATGGTGGTGAATTTGTCGGGCTGATGTTTTTACAAGGAGCTTAAATGATGTGAAGTAAAGAAAAATAACAGCACCGCAGTTAGCAAATGTAGTGAGTCATTCTGAATAAAATAACCGGGTATTTCTGCAAATTTTAATCCCACAGAACTTCCATTGACAGCAGCAGATATTTTTGCAGAAGTAACGTTTAGTTAACTGCCCGTCTCTTCCTAAGTTTCAGAACACAAAGTTTGTTAGAGATTGTTTCTCTACCAAACTGTTGAAATCTAGCGTGCTGTTCAAAACGAGACCATAGTCGTCCTAGGGCCTGCTGTTACAGCAGGCCTTTGAGGTGGACGTGGTGGCCATATAAAGTGTTCAGACTCCAGAATTTAATCTTTCGGGTTTCAGAGTTTTTTGTTTTGTTTGAAAATGTTGTTTTCTCACCACCATGACTAAAATTCACTTCCTAAACATGAGGCAGGCATAAACTGAGTTTAGTCAGCATATGTGTCTGCGTCCCTTCTTTGCACTGTGAGCATCTCAAGTGTCTGGCAGGAGCCAGTCACGGCACTTGGCAGGGTATGCACCACCTTGTTCCTGATGGTCCTGTCAGCATAAGGAACAGAGGGCTGAGGCATGAAGAGAAAAGTAAGGAGAGGAGGAAAAGAAAGTGATGAAACAAAGAGGATTGAAGTAGTCCCTCAATAAAACTAGTCCTTCAATTTACAGCACGTGTGCGGTGAGTCAACCTTGGCTGGTCACCAGGTGCCCACCAC